AAGTGGGGCTAAATTTTTTTAAGTAATTAATTGATAAATTTATGGGAAAGGCTCAGCTACCATTTCTTGAATATCATTAAAGATATTAGGCCAATTTCTTCTTCTTTTTCTTCTTCTTCTTCTTTTTCTCGAATGATAGATAATTTCAAGCATATTCATACTCAACATGCCATAAGCATAGCTTGTCAAACCAGCAGGCCAAGTGGAATCTGTCGTTATTTGTCAAATTCTTGGTGAAAAATGTGCACTTGTCAGCTCTTAATAATGAGGAAGAAGTAGCATTGAAAATCGAATGTCATAAATGATACTTAAGAATCAACAGAATAATTACAATTTGAGATGTATTCACCAAATTTCGTTTAAGGTGATGAAGGACTGGTAGAAGATAAATTTTCCCACAATGAAATGAGTTGAATTTCACATAGCCTTGATTTCCCAAAAGTTGCTCTCATCCTGGTTGAAGTAGACCGCAGTTTCGATCTCGCATCGGTCGTATCAACACCTTCAGCGGGAGTCGAACCGCGCAGTGCAGGATGGTTGCTTGACACGCACTGCACTGTCGCGGTTCGACTCCCGCTGAAGGTGTTGATAAGACCGATGCGAGGTCGAAACTGCAGTCTACTCCAACCGGGATGAGAACAACTTCTGAGAAATCAAAACTATGTGAAATTAAACTCATATCATTGTGGGAAAATTCATCTTCTACCAGTCCTTCATCATCTTAAACGAAATTTGGTGAATACATCTCAAATGAAAGATTTTCTGGTAGCCACGAAAACAATGCCTTATTTGAAAAATAAATAATAAATACACATTTTTTTAGTTTCACTTTCTGTATCATTTAGTACATTTCAGTAAAATGTGTAAATAGAGCCAGTTGCGTACATTTTTTATGTATGCTGGTCTCGATAAATTTGGGAACTTTTTTGAGTGGCCATTCGCTATTTGTCCAGTTTTATCAAAACATTAACACCATTAAATTGGCAGCAATTCCTCATTTTGGCCAAGTTGCGCTGGTTTAGCCAAGGAAACGCTTGGATTTACATAACTCCTTATTAGTTTTCTGTTAGTGAACCCTGCATTTTAAGATTAAGCTTGGCCGTAAGAGATTCGTAAATTGGCATCATCTAGAACCAAATATCTTCCAGCAATTTCTGCTCATGAATTTTTTGTGATCTTATCGGAGCCAGAAAGCAGCCTTCAAGAAAAACAATCAAACAGGACATCTTTAATAAAAGTTGTTTCAACTGATGAATTGTTGATAGTTCAATTGTCTTACAGTCGAATGATTAGACATTATGTTACTCTTGAATTTCACACAATCTACTTATAAACTGAAACTAAGTAGTGTAGTAGTTTTCCATAACAAATTCTAATTTAATTCGTCGACAATGCCACGACATATATGTGATATTGCATAAGCATCTTTATAAATCGCATCTGCCCTCTGAACCAATGACACTTGTGGAGTTGTGGCGTATTGGTTAACGTGTCAACATTGCACGCCGCTCTATAGCGACCGTAGTTCGAGTCCCGCCAGGGGTACTGAAGAGCCCAGTTCAGACAAGCTCACAATTACGAGAATGCATTTTGGGACGCAAGGCCATCTGGAATCCAATCCTTTCTACTCCAAACACGTTGATAACGTGCTTTTAATGAGGCATTTATACCTCCTTCCTACATTCGATGTGTGATTTTAAGGGGAATTTATGTGAGTAGCCCTTGATTTGAGCGCAGTTTCTTTTTCGCTGTTTAGCCTCTGTCCGACCCTTGTCTTATGTTTGCTAAGTCTTCGAAAGACATACTCCGTACTGCCTTTTCTGGCTTTGTTGCCATGAGCTATTCCAGCAGTGAACTGTCGACGGGGTTCATCTCCAGACACTCCACCTGCATCATCTGTCAGCAGCGCTACCCTCAGTTTCCAACTTTAACCCGCCAAATGGTATATCTTTTTCAAACAATAATCGGGATTCATACCTTTTTACTCATTAACTTCTACTTCATTGACAATACTTCGCTTGCCTTATTTTGTTACAGTCATTGTAGATGCTCAGACCAACCTCTTATTGACTCATTTTGGCCCATTTATTTTAGCTGGTAGATCTAATTGCAATGACCAGAGCCATCATCAAATCCATGTACTGGAAACCGAATGAATGCTACCTCATACCTGCACTTAAGTGGATCTATGTGGTAGATCTAAATCCACAACTTCACATTATTAATGAGGACCTGTTAAGACGAGTTTCACTCCTCGTATCTCTCTTCCTTAGTTGACAAGATCCAAGCAGCTGTATGAAACTAGTTTCTCGTTTTGTCCG